CAAATGCAGAAGAAGAGGAAGGAAAAATGTTTACATAGGGTTGAACTCATAAATGCCAGAGAGCTACAGTGTTCAAAGTGCGATCGCCCTTCGGGAAGCAGTCTCGAGACTCGATCTATATTGATCTCACATATCGAGAGGTAGTTCGGCGCAGTACACGAAGCACATTAACTGGCCAACGACTGTCGATTAGCGATATTAGTGAAAGACACGACTGTCTGAAAGTCGTACATATCAATAACTACCAAGCATTTTGGCTATAATTGATTTTTTTTCCATAAAAATCAATATTAAATTGTGATGCTGTATTGGAAAGTAAGGAATAAGCTATGGTTTAACTATAAAATGACATATTTTACTCATTGGATACCATTTTGCATAAGTTTTGTATGAAATTTCTCATGGGTCCAAAAAGACCCCACCTGTGCGCTTACGTTACTGTTTTAGCCTGTGCGGTTAAGGGTTATTCATATGCATTGAAGCAAGTAATTAGACTCCATCTATGTCGGATCTTCTGTTCTCGTGTTATAAGTTCAAGCGACAACAGCAAGACGAGAGGAAATTTAAAAAAAAATAAAGATGATATGAATCGGAGCCCGATCATGGTATAGGATTTCCTATATAAGACTTGTAACTAACAACACCTCTAATGCGTATTCCGAGTACTAATTGACGTTTGTGACAATATGGCCGTCCCGGTTTGGAAAAATCATAATGAATCGATAAAACTGCGTTAAACTGTTAAATTAAAACAGTAGAAATAAATAAATTTTAATTTTTTACATTTTTGAAAATAAAAAATCTTTTGTTTTTTAATTTTGTGAGATTTTCTGTCCACAATATTCAAAAATATTAAATCAATAAAAATGAATTGGTTGACATAACCTCACTTTTGTGTCACAATCGTGATAAACCGATCAAATAATTATTAAAACAGTAGAAATAAAAATATTTTAATTTTTTAAATTTTTAAAAATAAAAAATGCTTGTTTTGTTTTGTAGTTTCCGGTAGTTTCGTGAGATTTACTGCACAATATTCAAAAATATTAAATTAATAAAAAATGAATTGGTTGACATAACCTCACTTTCGTTTTAATAATTATTTGATCGGTTTATCACGATTGTGACACAAAAGTGAGGTTAGGTCAACTAATTCATTTTTATTAATTTAATATTTTTGAATATTGTGGACAGAAAATCTCACAAAATTAAAAAAACAAAAGATTTTTTATTTTCAAAAATGTAAAAAATTAAAATCTATTTATTTCTACTGTTTTATTTTAACAGTTTAACGCAGTTTAATCGATTCATTATGATTTTGCCCAACCGTGACGGCCATATTGTCACAAACGTCAATTAGTACTCGGAATACGCATTAGAGGTGTTGTTAGCTACGGGCATGATCAGGCTTCGATATGAATGCAGTCAAATCATTGGTAAATCGGAGGTGCTGCTGATTCTAAACAAAATTACCGAGCATAAGCTGTATTTAACATGCGCAATTAATCACTGTTTTTTATGAATTGTGAGAATGTGTCACAGATGCATTGATGCAATGGCGTGTTGTCACAACCTTATAATATTTATACATTACATTTAAAGTGAGAACAAAAAACATTTAAATTGTATTAGATGAATCAGACCAATTCTCTCACTCTCTTCACAGCAAGGCAAGAAAGATTCACGTCGATTCACGTACATATATAATTCATCAACTGGTTGTTGATGATTGTCATTGAATTTTGTGAAAGAAGATTATCGTAAAGTAAGAGAATCGCAAAGATCCACGAGCATACTTCTTATTGCTAGGCAATGCCATAAGAATTGTGAATGAAGAGCCAAATGAATTCTATTGAATAGAACAATGTAAGAGCTAAGCATTGTGTGCAAGACATATAACATATTAAAAACGAATAGAATGAAAATGTTTTTAGTTACTACGGTTTTTACGGAATTTTAATGTAGAAATGAAACCAAGAAAGCTAGAGAAAAAGAAAAAGTTTTCCGAGTGCGCGCAGAAAATTTGACTTGACAGATAAGTTGAAAGTGTGCCATAAGAATGGAAGTTGTTATCAATTAAATCATCATAAACGACGACAATTGAATGAATGATTAGCTCGTGTTTTATGGTACCTTTGCTGGTTTTAACTGTACTTCATTTTACATGTACTTACTCGATTGTTGTCATAAATTCTGAGAAACAAAACACATGACGAGAACGAACGCTCGAATGTCGATAAGAATCGTTTCCATGAGATAGGAATTGTGATACCCAAGAGACCAAGCGTAGAGAAAATAAGAACACATAAACACACAGATAAAGAAAGAGGTGTATGCATCATGTACAGTGCATAGTGCGATTGAGAGAGAGAGAGAGAGAGAGAGAGAGAGAGAGAGAGATTTAAAGACAAAGATAGTAGTAGTATTAAATTCAATTTTATTCAATGCAGGAGGCTGAAGATCATTGTTCGCCGACACCATGTGTTGAAGGAAGCTGTTTAAATACACCTGGCGGCTATTACTGTCATTGCCCGGCCAGTCGAGCCGGACGCCATTGTGAATTGCTCGCAACACCATGTAAATCACCACCGTGTTATGGTAATTATAATTCTATTTAAATTTATTTATTCTATTTGATGGACCTTTGCGGTCAACATTCATCACACATTGCTGGCATATTTTTATGCATATAAGCGAGAATGAATCAATTGAATGAATGAATGAATGATGACCGAACGATTTTATGAATGACTAAATTTATAAAATGTACTGAAAGCTATATGCCTCGGGCAATATATTTGTTGTTGTTGTCTCTCAATTTTATATTTTCTGTAAATAATCGTTGCCAATCACTTCACTTTTGCTACATTCTTCATTCGAATAGTCGGTTGTACAGTTTCAAATTCAACGATTCCATGTAATGGTCACGGGAAATGCGAAACAAAAGAGAACGATCAAAGTTGTTTGTGTTACTATGGATTCACTGGACCTTATTGTGAACACAGTATGTTTTTATAATATGTTAATACTTTTTTTGATTGGCATAAACACTTTGTTCGGTTAATTTATTACTTTGTTCTTTGATTTTTCTTTTTGTGTATTCTAGATTTAAACGATTGCTTACCTAATCCATGCAAAAATAACGGAATGTGTTTAGACGGAGATGGTAAATTTACATGTAAATGTGCTCCTGGATGGTCAGGTATTACGCGCGATTTTTGAAATCATTAATAATGAGTTATTATGATGTGAACTTTTCAATTATGTTAAAATATTATTATTTTTTTGATAGGAAAAACATGTACAGAGAGAATAACGCAATGTTTTAGCGGTCAATGTTCGAATGGCGGTTCATGTGCACCAACTATAATTGGCGGTGAGGCTACTTCAGTTTGTATCTGTGCCAATGGATGGGGTGGCGCTTTTTGTGTAGAATCGATTGATCAATGTCAAGGACAGCCTTGCCATAATGGTGGAACATGCGAATCGGGACCAGGATGGTTTCGATGTGCCTGTGCTCAAGGATTTTCCGGTCCCGACTGTCGTATCAATGTTAACGAATGTTCACCACAACCATGTTTAGGTGGTGCAACTTGTATCGATGGCATTGGTGGATTTACTTGCATTTGCCCCAAAGGAAGACGCGGACTTAGATGCGAAATACGTAAGTTTTCTATTTTCCACTGCCAACGTTTGTATCGGTTTTAAACCATATATGTGAATATAAACATTTCTGCGTTTATATAAAACAGTTATCATAATTCACAAATTTTTGGTAAATTGTTTCAGTGCTATCTGATCCGTCATCGGTTTGTTTGAATAGTACATCACTTTCACCATATAATGCAATCGCCGCCGAACCGCAAGAGGACCAACTTGACGAAACGAATTGTAATTCATGTATTTGTGTGAATGGAAAGCCAAAATGTTCAAATATTTGGTGTGGCTTAAAGAATTGTTTGCGCTCGAATATAACAAACGGATGTGATTCGCATGAAGTATGTGTTCCATTGACGCTACATGAAAGTTGTTTATCACCACCATGTATACCGAGAGGTGATTGTCGAAATTTGGAACCATCACGACGTGTTGCTCCACCAAAGCTACCAGCTCCTACTGAATGTTGGCCAAATCAAGCCATTCTCGATGAAAATTGTGCGCGCATAACAATTCTGCTACAAAATCAAATAATACAACCAGGAACATCGGTTGAAGGTATTTGCTTGAGTTTGCGAACATTATTAGGTACGAGACTTGTGAAAGTTACAGCCGATATGCAGCCACCACTTTTAGTGCTTTTATGCGATTTGAAAATAGGAACAAATGATACCATCGAAGTTACAATCGTATGTATTCTGTATAGATTATTTAAAATTATTTATTTTATGGAAAAGCATCAACTTAAGTGAAAAATATATATATTAATTTTAGTCGTCTACATCAAAGAATTCTGAGTACATTGCGCAAGCGGTAACCATTCTTGGTGAATTGCTTTCACGTGGCAGTTCATTGGGAACAACATATTCAGCAGACGAAATCGAAGCAGCACCATTGGCTGCAATCTTGGAGGTTAAGGTAAAAAAAATCCAATTTACTTTATATTTAATTGGCAAACGCGTCTAGGAATGCGTATAATCGAACTGGCTAGATATTTATCTCAAATATTCTCAGAGTGCGTCCTTTGGGTAAATTTCAATGATTTTTATTTTTGTTTCCATTTCAACAGGTTGAAACGGCACTTGTAACAACTGGACGGGGTCGATCTGGATTTATATTGGTGATTGTTTGTGCAACGGCTGTTGCAGCTTTGGTACTTGGAGCGTTTGGTGCATTGTTTTGGCGTCGTCGAATGTTCAATGCTAATGGATCGGGCGTTAATCTTTCGCCAAATATTGAAATCTCTCGTCATGACGAAGAAAAATCGAATAATATTCAAAATGAAGAGAATTTCCGTCGTTTGGCCAATCCATTAAAGGGTAGTGCATCATCCTTAAGTGGAGCTATGGAATTGAGCATGCACCCAACGCCGGATGTTGTGTCAGTGATTTCGCTCGGCGAAGGATCAAGTGCGATATATCCATGCGATAGTGGTGACTTTGATCCAATTGAACCGAAATTGAAATCAAATCGAGGATCTCAAATACTATACAAAGTGCAAAATATTGATATGCGCAAAAATACGGTCGGTTCGATAGAAAGTCCGCATAAAGACTTTGGTAAGCGCTCGATTGTATGTAAAACATTGACGCCAGTTCTAGATTCCGAGTGTCTTACCGTTCATGTGTAAACTTATGTGTAGCGTTTAGTTTTTGATTTATATTTGATTTCATCCTATTTTATATGAGCTCTTTTTTTTAAATTTTGTCTCCATATTCTAATGTAGTATTATAGTTTAGTATTGAAAATTCGTTCGTTTTTAATTTGCGATTTTTTTTAGTAAAATGTAATAAATGCGATATCTTGTGTCTCACCAAAGCGACAAAGATATTTTTTATAAATGAAAAAGAAAATAGAATGAAGAATAACCGACATATTATTATTTATTTTTTATGCAACGTGTGAATAGATTTTCCTGTATTTAAGTACTAAGCAAATTTATTTAAACAAAAAAAAGCACACATATAGTAAACGTGTGTCGGAGAATCTCTTTTAGTTTTATATATCTTGCCTGTATAATTTCAAAAGAAAAATAATTTTTTTAAGTATTTAAACAATATATCTTTTCGTTTAACTCACTCTCACTCTTTTTAATAAGTATTAATTTAGTCTCATTTTTAGGCTGGTATATTAAGAACGTTCTGAGCTTTTTGAAAATTTTGAATTGTGTAAATTATTTTCTTATAATTACAGTTAAAGTGTCGAAACAAAAATGTAGAGGATTCTATTAATTTTTAAATCGATTCTCGATGAAAAAAATCATAAATATATAGTGATTGTAAAACCAATTGTGTACAAAGAAAAATGCATGAATTATGATTTGTCTTTTACAATTCTCTTTTTCGCAAAAGAAAAAAAAACAGTTTTTTCATGATATTCTGAAGTTTAAGTGTGCAATGTGGAGGAAATCTGTTTTTTTTTTTTAAATATAAATTATTATCAAATGAGTGTTAATTTTACAACAAACATACAGCATGTTATTATCAGCTATGTGCATTTTTTATTTTCGTTTTTTCAAATTCTCAATAGATTGCAAATTACATACTTTAAAAAATGTGTGTGATTCTTACCTAATTCTTACTAATCATAACTTATCGATATGATATTTCTCATTCTTGACAGAAATTCAAATTGAATCACCAACGAAAAGAACGCGTGTAACATCGTTTTGATGTGTTTGCCAACTGTTTCACAATATGAAAACAAACAAAAAATTTATGCGTTCAAGCAATACCGAATAAGATGAAAAACATTGTCCGTCCAATAATCTATCTTTATTTCATTCTAATAAAAATTTATTGCACCTATTGAATAAGAAGACAGCATTTCTCCCTCCCAGCAAACTATATGTGTACATTTGAAAAAAAGTATTGCTTGACGGTCCAGTGTGATATTAATTATAAACAATATTTTAAAGTTGTGAAAAAAAACTGCAAATAAAAAAAATAAAATATAAAAAGAAAGAAACGTTTCAATTTTGTAAAAGAATTGTCAGAACACTTAATTTATAATAAAAAGGAAAGTATACAAAAAAACCAGATATAATATATTATGTTTTGTTGTGTACCTTCGGCAACAATTCTTGGCATTTAAGTAAATGAACAAACAAACAAAAAATAATCCAATTTATTTAGCAAAAATGAAAATATATTAAAGTAGATTTCAATTGAATGAGGGAGATTTAGATTGACAACAACAATGTAAAAAAAATTGCTGTTTTATTTTCAACCAAGCACTAATATTAGCTTCGAAGCGTTAGCTTTGTCAGTAGAAGTATATATATATACACATGCGGCTTCAAAGCACCGTGCTGGGCTGCTAAGATGCTGCTAGGCACTTGGCCCTGTGCATCAAGAAATAAGTGGTGATTGTTTTCAACCGAATTTCAGGTCACTTTAATTCTTACTCGTTCCATTGTAGAATGGATTAGTTACGTTAGTATAATTTTGTGAAAAACCAATATGCGAGAGAATCTCTCGGAGAGATGCGAATATGAAAAAAATTAGACCCAAGGTTGACCTTTTTTGATCAACTCTGAGATTTTTCTAGCGCTAAATGGAATGTAGACTATGTAACTATAGGCTCAAAAAATGTTTTTATTTGCGTGTAGTCACAGATATAAAAACAAACATTACTGTAAACATTCATGATTATCGTAAATATGCAGCAATGTGAAAAACAGTGAATTTGTTGGAATTAAATTTGTCAAATCACGCAGACTTAGAATATCAACTACACACTTTTGAAGTTCTTCATCTAAATTAATTTTCCTATCCAATAGTAATAACAATTATGAATTTTGTTTTTTCAAGTTCCGAGGCACCAGCTAAAAAATATATATTACAATTTGTAATCTACAAAATGTTTCCAAAATAAAAAAGGACCTACCGATGCCATAAATTCAATGGGTTTAATTTATTTAAATAACAGAGATATTCAAATTCGCGTATTAAAATATATTCACGAGAAATCGGCGGGATATTGTCACCAACTCTTTAATGCGTTATATATTGCCTGTGAATTTACTTTGAGCTTCCTTATCCGAGCGCCATCTCTATAACCTCATATGGATAAAGTTGTATATTCTAAGTTAGAATTTCTAATTGAATTCATTATCTTTATCAACAAAGTTTAAAAAATTTAAACCATGACAGATAAATTTAAATTATTTTGCACAACACATAGCTTTTCATCTAACATATTTTTGATATCTAATCATCTTTAGATATCTAAATATTTACCATATTTACGCAATATTGAAAGTGAATGAAACCTTAGTATTAGTTTGCATAATTTGAAATTGTAAAAAATACTTTTTTTTTAATTTTGAGTTTTTAAAGTGAAAATCCACAAATAGATGATCTAAAATAGCCAATCTTAGTAATATTAATTCCAATAATATTTTCTAATAGAGAAAATACAAAAAATGTGTCGTGCACGCTAATAAATAAATAAAATAAAATAAGTTAGTTTTCTTTTTTTATTTAGTTTGATTATACCCTTCGTTTTGTAGAGAAAGGAACAAATTGATATAAATATATAAATGTTTATTAGAAAAGTGACCTATCGCGAAAAAAATGATAATTTATCAAAAATACGAACAAAATTGGTGCCGATAAAATGCTCATTACTAAATGAAAAGATAAAAAAATAACACAATTGGATTTATACATTGGAATGACAATAATGCTTACGACCACAATATATATGAATTGTACTATTGAACGAACAATCAAATAAATCATTGTTTTTTTATTTTTATTAAAAAGAACACTTTTTCATTTTTCACAAATGATTTTTTCTTCTTTTATTATATTATTATTTTCTTGTTAAAGAAAAATTTAACGATTTAATTACAATCGAAAAAAAAAATACTTATATCAAATATCTTACATCGAACGGCCCGCGTAAAATCTTCGGCTTACGCTTAAAAGACATCATGCAATTTTTACCTGATAATTTGCACGCGTGCACACACACACACACACACTTAAGAATAATAATGAAACTTAATTTTGGTTCAAACTGGAGTGTCCCGCAGAATTATTTCAAATGAAAGTGTCCCGAATATTTGTTTCAAACTAAAATGTCCCTACAAAAAAGATTTATGTAAATTTTCCTAAGTGCCATTTTCATTTGCAATAAATTTGAGCGACACTTCGATTGTAAACTTTTTTTTGAGTCCTATTCATAGAAATTTTTTCGGGGGACAGTTTGAGAAAAAGTTTTTTTTGTTGGACATTTCAATCATAATTTTATGTACTATATGTATGGGAACTGAGAAAAAATCTGTTCAATAGGTATCACATAGCAAGTTTATATGAAACTCATTGTCGAACGTACGTACATATTTCGTATTTGCCATTTCAGCGGTCTTCCATGTTTTTCATACAAGCTTCCCATATAGATGGTATAAAAAATCGCGAAAAATGAAAAAAATAATTAATTTTTTTTTTCTTCGATTCTCAATTACTACTCAATTTTCTGTATCACCTGGTGAAATCAGAATGAAAAAAATCGCATTCCATATCATCTAATACACGATCTGGACTTTTTTCACTGTTTGAGTGCTCTATACCGAGTCTCCGAGAGTTTCATATAAACTTGCTATGTGATACCTATTGAACAGATTTTTTCTCAGTTCTCATATGAGTATATACATATAATACGTAAAATTATGATTGAAATGTCAAAAAAAAACTTTTTCTCAAACTGTCCCCCGAAAAAAGTTCTATGAATAGGACTCAAAAAAAAGTTTACAATCGAAGTGTCCCTCAAATTTATTGCAAATGAAAATGGCACTTAGGAAAATTTACATGAATCTTTTTTGTAGGGACATTTTAGTTTGAAACAAATATTCGGGACACTTTCATTTGAAATAATTCTGCGGGACACTCCAGTTTGAACCAAAATTAAGTTTCATTATTATTCTTAACCATTCATTTATATCGGTGGGTGCTGGTATCGAAGATTTTTTGTTGAAGAATCAACGAATACGACATCTATTAAAAGACATAAAGATTTTGGTTACTAAAGAACACACTAACTCTGATATTGTGTGTCCGTTTGTATTGCAAATTCTGAACTCAGTTGTCAACCATAGCTGCTTGTGCAAAATTTATAACACATACGCATAAACAGAATCGAAGTTCTTGTGTTTCTTAGTATTAGTTTGTAATACAGCGATAGCCATGTAGTTCGCTAGAGCTGTGTCATCGTAGCTGCTTGTGCAAAATTTACAACACACACGCATACACAGAATCGGAGTCTTGTGCTCAGTACTGATACGTTTGCAATACAGCTATATAGTTCGCTAGAGCTGTGTCAATACAGCAATAGTAACGAAAATCTTTATTGTCTTTAATAGGTGGCGTATTGTTGAATTTTCAACAAATATTTCCATACAAAAAATGCTTCATCAGCGACCACCGATTTATATGGATGGTTCATGTTTCGACCACAGGTTTTTATAAATATTTGATAACAATTTTGAAGATTCGTTTTGTCTTAACGCAATAGTGATGGCTGAATGTCCCAGACATTTAACCCTAAAACCGTCCTTCTGCAATCCACACTCAGTGCCCGTAGTGTAATTTGTATGAAAAAATTAAAAAAATCGATATTTTGAGAAATCTTGTGTCTAATTGTAAACTAAAGACATGAATGTGCGCATCGGGTCGGCAGCTACGGTTTGTATACTGTCCTGACAAAATAAATTAATATTGGCTGAACAAATTTTTACTAAATTATATCACTTCGTCTTTGGGGCACTCAGTGCCCGTTAGTGTATTTTGTATGAAAAAATGGAAGTTTTTCAATTTTTTATTTTGAATTTTCTCGATATTTTGAGAAATATTGTGTCATTTCATAAACTAAAGACATGAATGTACGCAGCAGATCGGCACCTACGTTTTGTTTACTGTGCTGACAAAATAAAAAAAATATTGGCTGAAATTTTTTTTGCGGTGCCTATGAATTCGACCAGTTTTTTACACTGTTTGCCCTTAATTTTTCTCTGTTAAATTTATCTGAGTATGGGAATTCACATATAAATGAATAAAAAAATGAATTGAACACGAGATATGTTTGTTGTGTATATTTAAAAGTAAATCGAAGCATTTCAATGCAAAACACAATTTCGGCAGAATTTGTTTATAATAAATTATTATTCTTATTTGAATGTCACACCGAACAACGTAACAAGTGTATATATGTTTGTATATGAGAACAATCGATTCATTCGTGCACAAACATTTTTTACAATTCAGCAATTTTCCCATACAAAATATATGAAAATATACGTCGGGCACTGAGTGCCCCAAAGACGAAATGACGATCTTTTTTTTGCCGCCATTTTTTCGAAAACCATGGCGTGAATAGATGCATATTTTATATTTACACCAAAAAAATCGGGGTTCAGTGATGTTTGATGAAAAAAATGGTTCAATTTTAGTTTGAAATTTTGCTCGGGCACTGAGTGCCCGATGGACGGTTTTAGGGTTAAATTCAAACATTTTTTAATGCGGTTGCTTCATTTAATTGGGCTGCAACAGTGGCGGTGACGACGAAAATTTTATCAATTTTTAAATAATCTTTGTTCGTCGATTAAGTTTTAGCAAGTTGTGTTTGCTCAATTGCTCATACTCTCAATTCAACGATAAAAAGGAGAGACAATGTTGCACTTGCAACTTATTGATTAACGTGAAATTTCTTTTAGAAACGAGGAAAAAAAGTGAAAAAATAACCTAAGCTGATATGGCTATTTATATTTTGATCTCTTTGTTTCATTTTTGCATGCATACTCATTTTCCGGTCGATATCAAATTTCAAAAAATCGTTTATTGTACTACTTGACGTGACTTGATTTTTTTCATACTTGCAAATCATATTTTGACACAATTTATGCGCCCAAATTTTATTGTATCGAAAGTATTAGCGAAAAAATGAAAATGTCAGGAAAATGAATAATAATTCAAACACTTCTTTTTTCGTTTACGCATAAACTTTCTTCCATTTTGTTAAATCAAAATTAATTTAATTAATTTTTTAATTTTATAAATTTACATAGTTCGATATAGTTATTTTCAATGTTAAAAGGCACCGTGAGAAAATCCATTAAATCAAAACATAATAAGCAACTAACATAAGCTCTTTGACGACAACCAAATCATTCCAGTTGCTCACCTGTATCTG